TCAGCCCACCAGGGGGCAGGGCTGGCTGGCATGTGGTGCTGGGGGATTGAACCGCGGTCCCTGTGCTTTGCTGAGCTTGTTCTAAGTAGGTGCTTTAGATCACTGAGCCAACTCACCAGCCCTCCTATTCAGCTTTGTTCCCCAAGATTTTTCTCCCAGTTAGGCTTCCCATGCTGCCCCATTTGTCATGCCTGAAGTGGCCCTGAGAAAAATCTTCCCTCTTTCCCACCCTTCTGAGTATAACAACAAAAAGATGAGCATGCCAGGCTTTAGAGACCTCTGTGCTGCCCTCTACGAAAAATAGACTGCCCTCAGCAACCAAGAATTAAGAGCCATAAAAAATTTAGGACTGGACTTGCAGTCTTCGTGGTGCCAGCTCTGCATATACACTTGTGCTGATTGTCCCTGTAGCTTTGACGTCAAGTATTCCATCCAGATTCTTTGAGACTGGGGCTGCCAGCCTTAAGCCCTGTGCATTACTTAGTTCCCTCCAGATTGCTATCACACAGATTTCAGCCTGCCTGTATATAGGTGGAATAAAATCGAGTCTTTCCCATAGCCTCAGTGTCTAGGTCTTTCTTCACATGCCATTATTTAACAGAACCATTTGGTATTTATTATCTTTATAATTCATTTATATACATTATATATTTCCATATATATTTCCATATGTATGTTTTTAAAATTATGTTGCATGGTATCTGTGTAATTTGCTTTTTCTCTCAACATGCATGTACTTCTAGTTTTCATTTTCACTAATCTTTACGTGAGCTGTATCTAATCTGCCATTAAACTCATTTACTATTGCAACGGCAAGCAGAAACACTGAAACACCCAGAATTTGGAGGCAGATTTATTTTACATCGATGGACACTGACTAGTATCATTACAAAATATCAGGTCTCATAGGCCCAGGGAAGGAGGTTTTAAGGGGGTTGTAAAGGAGGGGGTAGAGAGGTAGAGTGGTAGGGTGTGATATGGAGATTGAGTGTGATGCTGGGATTCTCAGGGTGCACTACGTGGGTGCAGGTTTCACCATGAAAGGGTGAGTAGCATGGGTGGAATATAAAGATAGAAAGAAGGAGGCCTGCTGCTGTGGCTTCTGCTTGCTGCTGCTCCTGCTGCCTCCTGCCTTCCCTGCCATGCCATGGACCGTTTCTCCTCTGCCATCCCACCCTACTTGGATCTGGCTGATTATGAAATGAAATCTCTACAAACTGAGCTGAAAGGACCTTTCCCCCTTAATTGGGGTGTTAGGTATTTTGCCTCAGCAATGAGAGAGGTTAACTAAAAGAATCTGTTTCTATTGTATTTTTTTTACTTGTTATTTATCAATCGTGAGATCCTATTAATTTACTGTTGTGTCTATAATTATACTTCTGAACATGGTCTATGAAAATATAAGGATAATTTGTGGCTCTGGCTCAGTAGGCTATAAACTCTGACCCATAGGCCAGATCTATCTAACCTCCCACCATTTATGTGTGTGTGTGTGTGTGTGTGTGTGTGTGTGTGTGTGTGTGTAAGATCTGCTTTAAAAGGGTAAAAGGGAGATAGCTCAGTGGCATAAGTGCCTGCCTGCCAAGCACAGTGTCCTGAGTTCGATCCCTGGTACCAAAAACAAGCAAAAACAATCTAAAGAATAGTATTTGGCAACACATGGAACTTGATTAAAATTAAAACCTAACTGTCCATAAGAAGTTTTGTTGGAATGCTGTCACAATTTTTCATGTATTAGCTATGTTGCACTAGCAGATTCAAGTAGCTGCAGCAGAAATTCGGTGATCACAAGCCTACTTATTGATATTTTGTTTTGCTTTGTTTTCTGAGACAGCATCTCTTTATGCAGTCCAGGCTGGCTTTGAACTCTGGTGATCCCCCTGTCCTCCTGCCTCAGCCTCCCAAGTGCTGAGATTATAGGCATACACCACCATGCCTAGGCAAGCCTGATTATTTATAAACTGTTGCCAATTCCTGTTCTAGCTAGCAAACTGTAATTTTCATCAGACAGGGTTTAATTTGGTAGGCTTATAGAGTATCAAGAAAATCACATTACAGACTAGGCGTGTTGGCGCGTGTCTATAATCCCAGTGCTTGGGAGGCTGAAAACAGAAGGATCACTATGAGGCTGATCTGTGTAGTGAGACCCTGTACTAAGTACATAAAACAATTTTTTTAAAAAAAGGAAAATCACATTAATGATTGTAGGATTGAGTTGATTCAAGGTTTTAAACGTTTGTGAGAGCTGCTCACTTTCTGGCTCATGTCTACTTAGTGCTTCAAACTAAAACCTTGGTGTATTTACCCAGGCTCCCACTCCTTGCTGGGCCCAGTCCTTCAGTTTGTTCATCCTCTACTACTTTCCTTCTGAGATTACAACTCCTCACATTCTTGCTGTTTCAGTCCTTCATGCCTTTAAAGGACTACGTGAAGGGCTCAGCGGATTAGTGCGCCTGCAAGCAAGTGCAGGGGCTGGGGGTTCTCCCCGGACCTGCTGTGCCGGCCCAGTCCCGCCCCTGGGATACACTCAGATTGAGACTGGGCGTGGTGGCACACGCCTGCAATACCAGCTCTTGGGAGGC